GGGCCCCCCCCCCCCCCTCTTTATAGAATTTCTAGCTACGCCACTGCCCGTCAGAAGCGTGAGTGACTTTCATTCTTCGGAATACGTAATGGAAAGGTCCCTCGCCTCGTGAGGGCTTCTACAATCACGATTCTTTGGATTTATGGTGATATTAAACCTCGCGTAGGGGATACTTTCTATATTAATTTTAACGATTACAGTCGCATTTTAGAGGAGCTGAAAATCAGGTTCACGCCTCAACTTATGCCTTACAGTTGATGCTACTAACTTCATCCCGCAAAGACACTTATTCATATCACATCTGTTTACCAGGGAGTAGTAGTACACGGAAATACATCTTTAAGTCCTGACGAGGCACGATGCAAGTGAATTTTCCTCATTTTTGGCCCTCACTGCCTTCAACCTCACTTGTATTTTTTTGTAAGGGAAGGGGAGGGGGCAAAGAACCTTCCGACTTCCGACTCTCATTCACGAACTTTCGGAAAAGTATAAGAAAACGATGGAGCCGAGACTAGTTCCCTGCAAGCTACAATATCCCTTGCATAGCTTTTTTTCTACGGAGCGAGATATACTTCACAAAAATAAAATACGAAAATTCTGATTTTTTCCAAAGAGCTTGCCAAATTATATGAGGCATGCCGAAAAATTAGACATTTCAAAAAATTAGGAGGTTTGCCAAAAAATTAGGAAAATTCAAAGATTTTCTGAAAAATTTGTGGGCAACCACTAAATAGTTATGAAACTTTTTGAAATTTTACCAAAAAAACACAGAGTGCCGAAATTTTTCTGACTTTTTTCGAAAACATAGGTGCGAGAAGTTTAAGGCTAAGCGGTGCGTGGAAATATTCCAAAGTTCTCACAGAGGTTTTGAGGATCCAATAGCTTTCAGAAAACTGGGAAAATTTTGAAATTTTAAAAGAAATAGTAAAATTTCTTCGAGTTAACCACATTTTTACGGAAAACCAGGACAATTATGAGCATCCTGACACTTCGTGGAAGATTCCGAAATTTTTTTAAATCTTAGAACAATTTCCCTCCTAATTTCAGCCAGAGGGGCGGAAGGGGGGCGCTTACCACCGTACTCCCCCCATTCCCCAAAAAAATCCGCCATTGACAAAGCGCGGTATGGAAGTTGAGTTGGGTGCACGTTCTTGGAGACTTTAACGAGCGGATAGAAAAGTAGAGCATTTAGAAATATACTTTTCCAGACGCACAGATTGGTCTCATCGATTGTTTGAAAGTTAAGAAATTTTGAAGACGATTTGTCAAAAATCGGTGAGGTACCTTCTTCTGGTTAAAAGATAGAGAGCTATCAGTTTAAAAAAAAAATGAATAAATTAGATATTTATGAATATCTGCTTGGATTGGATTTTACGTCACGACAAGTGAAGATGACTACAATAACCGCGATCACGTATTTCGCTTAAATTCGTTAAAATTATTCCTTTGAAAGGCCAAATTTTTTCAATTTATTGTGCTTCGTCAATAATTGAAAAAATCTGCAGCGAACAGTCCTTCCGTCAAAGATGAAAACAATACTGACCGTTCTAGTGAATATTGCGGTGAAGTTCCGGCAAGTGATTTGAAATTTATTCATATTTCATGACGGAGACAGGAAGTTATAATATCGAAGCCCGGACAACAACCACACGAGTGTTCACAAGCTCCCATGCTTTAGTAAGTATTATCCTTCACGTGATCATTTATGAGCTTTTCTTTACTAACGAATTATTATCAGCCCCCCCCCCACCTCCCCACGGCTTGGGGGAAAGGATCTCTTACTGGATAAATACTTGATAATGATCTATGAAATAACTAGTGATTATAAACGGCCTATGACTTACCTAGGCGAAAAGTCTAGGCTTTTCAAATCCACGAATGAAACTAAGAATGCAAGGAGATCCAGCCAAAGGCACACAAGATCGAACAGAAAAGGAGGGGTTGCGATTTGGACCGAAATCGGCCCTCCACGGAATTGAGAAATTTTTGGATATACGGCAGTTGACGGTGTATATTTGACAGAAATAATCGAGTTTTGCCGATACTCACGTTTTTTGGCTGCGAAACAGGGGCCTAAACGTGGCTCAGAAGGCGAAAATAGCTGAAATTTCGCGTTTTTCGCGGTTCTACCTCAGGTTTCGACCTGGGCCCAAAGGCGACGGGTGATGAGCTTCGAATATGGTGTCAATGACACCTAGAAACGTAACATAGGTACTTGAATATGATTAACCGTCGCCTTTGGGCCCGGGTCAAAATCTGAAGTAGAACCGCGAAAAACGCGAAATTTCAGCTATTTTCGCCTTCTGAGCCATGTTTAGGCCCCTGTTTCGCAGCCAAAACACGAGAGTATCGGCAAAACTCGATTATTTCTGTCAAATATACACCGTCAACTGCCGTATATCCAAGAATTTCTCAATTCCGCGGAGGGGCCGATTTCGGCCCAAATCGCAACCCCTCCTTTGGGCGTCAAGATATAACGTGGTAGGAAACGGAGAAAGAAGGGTCATTGGAGGGGCCGTCGAGGGCGGAACTAGGGGCCGGAGGGCCTTCCCCAGAGATAACAGGGAGTATTGCTAAATAAATGTGTGTTTCAAACTCCCGGTCGAAGCATACGGACCCAAACTTCACAACTGGGAAAATTCTCCGAACTGCTCTTTCGGAACTATAAGGAGTCTCCCACGTGAAGGCAGATCAGACATCATTTCGTAGCATGTTCTGGTGCCTCCTTAGTCCCCCACCTTCCCCCTGATAAGACACCTTCCCGGCCCCCAAAAAAAATTCTCATTACGCCATGGACGAGACACGGATCTATGCTCCAACCCAGGAGACCTGCTACAGTCGCTTGAGATGCGGCGCGGCCGAGAGGTACTTGGTACTCATCAGGAATATCAGGAGGACATCTCCTATCAGATCAAGAGTTGACAGAGGGGCAATATGGGTACTGGATGGAGGGCTCTCCTAACACCTCCTAATTAATTGTTGACAGCTGTTTCCCGAATTTCAACACAAGATGATTTCTTTGCAGGGATTTTTTGCACCTGTCATCTATTAAAAATTAGCATCTATGATGAATGAAAATCAAAACAATGATTTGCGAGGTCATCGACAGCCATTGTTGTGATTATTAATTCTGTGACAGGTGTTAATTAACTTTTCTTTATCTATTTGAATCCACCGAAAGGGTGTTTTGAATTAAAATTTAAGAGTGCTATGTTAATCCGTGGCAGATTTTTGATGTAGTAAGTCATGGGTTGTGAAAAGAGAAGAAAACAGAAACGCAAGAAATTCAACCCAAATAAGCCTACAAGAAGAAGGTTTGTCATTCATTGTTTTGGTTTCCTAGTTACTCTGGCAATGTTCAGAAAGAAAAATTGTGCAAATCTATTATTGATTAACTTGAGGAAAGTAAAGTTCCGCTCATATTCTACCATGCTGCATTCGTCACCATAAGTCACTGATTTATACCTTGTGATAACGGAATGAGACATTCATGAGGTTTCCCTGGTAAAAATTGACAGTAGGATCTGTGTTCCGAAATACTATTGACCGACAGCCGACTGTAAGTTTTCCTGTAGCTTCTATAGCCGGCTATACAATTTCTTATAGCCTTCCATAGCCGATGGCGATAAAGCTACAGCCAGGCGATAAACTGCAAAGCCCGGCTGTATAATTTTTTATCGCTTCGTACAGCCGGCTGTTTGATTTTTTACGCTTTCAACAGCCAGCAATATGATTTTATACCGTCTTTTATGGCCGGCTATAAGGATTCCTATGTTATTTTGAAACGCAGCTCCTATTCTCAATTTTTACCAGGGTTTTTTCCAATTTTTTAGTCCTAAATTTCCCAGACAAAGGAGTGTAATTTCTTGCCAAGAGTACATAATTGACGAGGACAGTCGCACTTTCCTTTTGCAAAACTGTGCGACTTCCTTTCAAAATTCAGTTTTGATTTTATTCCCGAACGTTCCCTAAAAAGAGAATGCAGTAATCTTCCGTTACTCTGAAGGATTCCGCTCCAAGAAGAACTTGCGAATGACGGATCCGCGGATAACGAATCCGCGGATAACGAGATCCTTCGCTTACGGGAAAACGATAATATGGAAATATTTTCACTAGTAATTTAGAAACTTACAAATTATATTCTTGGAACCATTTACGATTTTCCTTGGGAACGGAGCATCAAAACCAAAGTAAGGGGAAAAAACCTAATCAAATTTTCTGACCTCTGAAGAGATGAAAATTCACGTATGCGCGAAACTCGCGATGCCCGATCTCCCGTGCGGCGGGGGAAGATTTCCATTCCCAACTCTTGTTTTCGCGAATAACGAGAGGCTAGTGTGATTTGCGAGTGAGAATTTGACAATACTGAGCTGTTAATGCGTTCATTCATCTTGGGAACTTTCACATACCAAGGGAGCACTAACAGAAACGAAGAACCAACTCTATGGCTCTATGGCTATCAGGGCCGTTTTAACGCCCAGGGCCAGGGGAGCTGACGGGCAAAGGGGGCCCGCACATTTGCAAATTGCATACTCTCTAAATTGAAGGCAGTTCACATTCCTTAAAAAAGCGAATGGTTCGTTGAAAGTTACGACTCCCCCTCCCCTCCAGCCCTAGCCCCTGCCGTTTTTTTGATCGAGGGCAGTTAAGATATTAAAATATCAATCAAATCAGGGATGCCACACATATTGTGGCATTTCATGACCTGAAAATTATTTACATGGGGACCTAAAGAATAATTAGGAGACTTAAATTTTTCCCAAGAAACAACAGCCAGACTTATGATGCTTTATACGCCGGGTAGGCAGTCCGCTTTGGCGGAATTGGGGACTTTTCGGGGGAAGTAGAAGGCTATGCCTCATCAAGACGGATCTAGGGGACCTTCCTCGCTTCAAAAGAGAGTTCAGGGAATTCGAGGCATTATCCTAGCTTTACAGGGGGTCTGAGGGCCCGCTCCCGAAACATTTTAAAAAATTAAGTTCTCGGGAAAAATTTTAAGCTATTCTTGCAGAAAAATTGATCCTATTCCGAACATGAAAGATTATCGAAATCCATCACATTTCTTTGAGGAGGCCATGCAGATTTCTTAGGAAAGTCAGGCCCTCTGCCCACCGCCTATTTCATGTTTAATTGTTTGCCTTCCACGAAAGTCGATCGAGCTTTCCTTCATCGTTCATCAAACTCCAGCTCAGTTTCATCAAAAAATTTTGATTCTTAGCGCCGTGTCCGAAAATGAACTGCGTTATCTTCCGTTCCGTCGATTTTTCTCGGAAAATCTTTCGACGACGAAGAAAAAAAGAAGGATCATTTCCAGTTTCAGTAGCAAAAAATACACGCAGAAACATGTAGTGCATACTTATTGAAATTTCATTACTGTTCCTAATATCGAGGTTTTCCGGTTAGGAGAGGAGAAAGCTGAATGATTAGTGAAGCTCATCTAATATCCATCGGAATGGAGGGGAAAAATGTATCCTCATACATCGAATAGAGGTACGATCTGTCAATTTTTGCTGCTGAAGCCGAAAACGACTTTCGTTTCCCTCCGGAATCTACCAAATTGGTGAAAAATCGATTTTTTTAGGAAAGGCGTTTCTTCAGCTCAGCAAAATCCCCTCTTTCACGACTCTTGATTTTCCGAGGGTTTTAAAACAAAATGAAAGTCATTTTCGGCTTCAGCGGCAAAAATTGGCTGGGAATCATTCCACTTGATACATGAGGATACTTTCTTGCCCCTCCTTAGCAACGCCAAGGAATCGGATGAGTTTCACATGGTGTTGTATGAGCAGAAATGAATATTTGACCGGAAAAATCTCAATATTAGGAATAGAAATGAAAATTCAGTAGTCATGCAAGGCATGCTTTCCAATGTATTTTTGGCTGCTGAATCGGGAAATCACCCTCTTTTACCTCCATTGTCCTAAGATTTTCCAGAAAATTGAATTTTCCACGGAAAAGCTTGACTTCTACGGAAAATTCCGATTTGTTCGGGACAATCGGCCTAATCAATCAAAAAAAGGTCATTTTCGGACTCGAGCGTTAAAATCTACAGAAGAAAAATCAACGGTTTCAAGGCATCTGCATTTTTTTTTCCTTTTCTTTTTTTTTGGGTGGGGGGGGGCAGTCAAGTTTCTTGAGAGTGAAGAATTGATTAGGTACGCCTAAAATTGGGGGAAATAAAAGAAGGTTTATGTCCTTATAGCTGAAATTGTATGATTTAAAATTCAAATAACTGTTAGAGAAACATCGAAGAACCACTCATTTTCATTCCTACAAGCCTATCCACCTTACCGAGGTAGATAGATGCGACCAGTACGTAACAAAAATAATAATGAAAATTAAAACTTCCATCAATCAAAGGAAATAAGAATAAAATCTGTCAACAACATATGTAAATACTTCATAAAAAATGCACAAATTCCTCGCTGTCTCTTGCTGATTTTCTGTATTTGTCTTTTTTTAGCATCAAAAATGAGTCCATTGATACAAGAAGCAGTGCAGAACCCGAAAAGGGTGATAAGATACCTGCTACAAACAGTGCAGCTTCCAAAAGGGGCAATGCAGCAGATTCCTCACTCCACGACACTCCTGAATTCGTATCACCAAGAAATTGTTCTCGCAAAGGGTAATAATTTATTGCACTTTCCTTTTCATAAAAGTAGGACACATAGTGGAATTGCAAGTAGGTACAGGTGCACGGAACAGGAAATAGTGGAGCCACAGGGAAGACAAGATTTAAGACAGGTATATGCACCAAAGAAAACAGGAAAAGAAAGAAAAACAAAAGAATAAATGAACTATAAAGAATATTTCTCATCAGTGTCTTTTCTCAGGATTAAACTTTCTCAACCAAATTTTCCGAAATTTTCTCCGGCGCTCCTCATTTTTTTTATGCTTCCAAAAATCTGTGGAAAACTCGATACCAATTTCAGATTGCTTTTTGACTATATTCACAATTCGAAACATGTCATGATTTGAAGAGAGGCCTCTATTTTCCTTCGGTATTGCCATGCAACACTGATACTGAACTTTGATATTTTCTTACTTTCAGCATCGCTGGAGAATCTTTCGAGACTAATGCGAAAGGCCACCTGCCCATACCTCCAAGCATTTCTCCCAGTGCATCAACATCCGAGAAAATTTCTGAGCAAATTCCCGAGCAAATTTCACGAAACAGGTAAAAATTAATAAACCATTTCAGGAATTCAAAATCAGTTTACAGCTGAAAATTATTGTTCTGCTTACAAATTAATCAAATTTTCAGAAATTTTCTGTAGCGCTCTTCACTTTTTTATGCTTCCAAGAATCTGTGGAAAACTCGATACCAATATCAGATTGTTTTTGGACTATATTCATAATTCAAAACATGTCATGATTTGAAGAGAGGCCTCTATTTTCCTTCGGTATTGCCATGCAACACTGATACTGAACTTTGATATTTTCCTACTTTCAGCATCGCTGGAGAATCTTTCGAGACTAATGCAGAAGGCCACCTGCCCATACCTCCAAGCATTTCTCCCAGTGCATCAACATCCGAGCAAATTCCCAAGCAAATTTCACTAAACAGGTAAAAATTAATAAATCATTTCCGGAATACAAAATCAGTTTAAAAGTTTACTGAAAATTATTTTTCTGCTTACAATAAATTCAAATTTTCAGAAATTTTCTCTAGCGCTCTTCACTTTTTTATGCTTCCAAAAATCTGTGAAAAACTCGATACCAATTTCAGATACTGAACTTTGATATTTTCCTACTTTCAGCATCGCTGGAGAATCTTTCAAGACTAATGCGGAAGGCCACCTGCCCATACCTCCAAGCATTTCTCCCAGTGCATCAACATCCGAGCAAATTCCCAAGCAAATTTCACGAAACAGGTAAAAATTAATAAACCATTTCCGGAATTCAAAATCAGTTTACAGCTGAAAATTATTGTTCTGCTTACAATATATTCAAATTTTCAGAAATTTTCTCCAGCGCTCTTCACTTTTTTATGCTTCCAAAAATCTGTGGAAAACTCGATACCAATTTCAGATACTGAACTTTGATATTTTCCTACTTTCAGCATCGCTGAAGAATCTTTCGAGACTAATGCGGAAGGCCATCTACCCATACCTCCCAGCATTTCTCCCAGTGCATCAACATCGGAGCAAATTTCCGAGCAAATTTCCGAACCAATTTCTGAGCAAATTTCACTAAACAGGTAAAAATTAATAAATCATTTCAGGAATTCAAAAACAATTTACAGCTTGAAATTATTTTTCTGCTTACAATATTTTCAAATTCTCATCCGAGTCAATGACTTGATACTTGTAAGTATGAAATTACTAGGAGCCAGCATTACAGTCCTTTTCTACAGAATGATGAGCGGAAAGAAGCAAAGGGAATAACATCTAAACCGTCCGCAGGGAAAATTAATCCATCAGTGCTGCTAATCCACAGATCAACCATAAAACCCAATTTAAATATGGAATTATTAAAGTTCAATCTACTGCGGAACTATCCGTAAGAAGAAATCCTCGTGTATTTTGAGGCGCTGAATTCGAAAATGACAGATTTTTTCCACAACCCTCCAATTTCCCAGAAAAGCCAAGTTTCCTGAGGAACAGGGAAATTTTTGGGCAATTTTGAATCAGCACCTGAAAATACATGAGTATCACTTTGCCATAGGTTCAGCAAAAGATATGAAAATAAATTTCATGCATAACAAAAAAGGTAAATTTGCTAATTTAGACTTGGTTTCATCATTTTACCGAAATGGATGTTGATTACCTGCATATTATTTTTTCGTCCGGTTTTCCTTGATTTCTGAGATATGATTTCTATGATGCCTAGAAATCATTATTCAGAAATCAAGGAAAACCGGACAAAAAAATAATATCCAGGTAATTAAATTTGCTGAATCTCCTGGGCAAAATCAGAAATGAGTAAATCTTGGCATTTTTTTTCTAGGTGCGGTACTAAGAGAACATATCTGTCTAAAAGGCGTACTCCAAGGAACACACCACCTCATTGGAGACGCATTTTAAAGAATGCTAGATTGAGTCCATCACCGAGGCCAGTGAGGCGTGCCATTCGCTTAGATTCAGAGCCAACAAGGACCGAATGTGAAACTTGTTCACCAGAAACTTTGAAGCAAATCGGGGAAGCCCAAAGAAGGTATCACTGAATGAGTTAATATTTATCACTAATTTTCTCCAAGCATGATATGAAAGTACAGATTGCAAAATTTGACGCCTGACAAAAAATTAAATTTGAAAAAGTAAGAAGTGGCTTTGTAAATATTCAACAGAATGTTCCATTTCTATTTGTTGTATCATTGAATTTTTTTATGAACTGTCAGTCTTGAGACAAACTGGGAAGACATGGCCCAGTGCAAACGCTGAAGAAGAAGTGATGAATTATAATAGGTATTATAAAATTTAAGTACCTATAAAGTCCCTTTTCTTTCAAAAAAAAAATTCACTACTAAAATGCAGATTCTTACAAGGAATGATCCTCTTTCATCAAGAATTGTGTGCTAAAGTTTGAAAAAATATCACTCTTTTTGTTTCAATTATTGAGACATGGGAAATTTTGGAGTACTTCTTTAGTAGAGTTATGGAAAACTAAAGGTATTCATAGAAATTGATGAATGAAAAAGAACAAATAAAAAACTTTAACTTGAAACGCCGCTTGGGTACAAAAGAATAATCAAGATGTATTAATCGAAAACAGATTTTGCAAGTAGCAATTGACCTCTCTTTGCTTGGATGCAGAAAATGACATATTGTGACAAGTTTCATGTGGGAGGTCATGTGAGAGCATAACCATTTATTTGTGCCAGGACTATCTACTCATCACCCTTTCGTCACAAAGAAAGGCAGCAAAACGCTAATGGAGTGTGAATTGCAGTTTCGATTTTGAAAATGTTTCAAGAATTTAAGAATGTACTAGTAAAAGCATTTAAAGCCATCTAAGACTTTAGTCTAAAATTATCTACAGAAAAAGTAACTAGCAAAGTTTAATGCTCTGGAATACTAAGAAAAAATATCAGTCATTATCCACAAAATTGCATTTTTTGGTGTTACAGAGAAGCTGAAATCGATGCGCACGAATTGGTAACTGAATACCACAGGCCAGCCGGTAGAGATGAAAACATTTCAAAATTAAAGCACAGGCGAATCGTAGATATTGGGCATCTGATTACAGAGGCAAGGAAACTGGAGGGGCATGAATGTACCAAAAATCCAAGAAATGGCCATTTCTCATTTCAGAAGGAAGTCCACAATGGTCTGCACAGCACTTTGCATTTCAAGTGTTACAGTTGCGATAATACTAAACAAATCGAAACAGTCACTGCAGGTCCAGAGGAGCTTAATAACAGTGCCGTTTTGGGCTTGTTGGCAATAGGAAAGGGCCATGAACATGGAGATGAGCTGACAACTTTCCTTGATGTGCCATTCATGGCTCGAAACACATATACTAAAGTGGAGGAGAGAGTTGGCGATGTAAGTTAAAATGTTTCATGATACAATTTTTGCTTTTCTGAGCAGATACTATCTTTAATGCAAGGCTATGTCTTCTGAGCGAATGTTGTCAGGTCAGGGAAAAAATCAGAATATGATTTTTCGATGGGAAACTTTCTTTAGTGCCTTAAAGCATAACTTGTGTGTCCGTCAATTTTTACTTAATGCCGATGGAGGGCATAAAAAGGCATGATAATCCAACAATTCCCAGAGAGGCCAGAATTTTATTCCAAACAATTGGCAAGATGTTTTGCTTACAGAAGTGGCAAAATAACACTCCATGCATTTCGACGCTGATGTAGTGAAGTGGCTTAGAATCTAGAATGCTGGCCAAGAGGTATGAAGCAGAACAATCAAAGGAGCTTTTGATAATAATGTCGTATCACCAGGGAATCAAACTGCAAACCTCTTGGCCAGTGTACAGCAATTTAAGTCACAACACTAATTCATTGCTGAAATTCGTGATGCATAATTCTGCCACTTCAGCGAGCAACCTTTCTTGCCAATTTCTTTAAAAATTTTCTTGGATCTACCGCGGCCTTTTTGCCAGATACGGGTCTAATGGTTTCGCATGAAGAAACTTTTTGACCCCACTCGGATCAAAATCTGAGAGGAACACTAGGTGAAATTTTCTAGTTACCTGTTTTGAAGATGACTCTTGAAAAAAAAATTGAAAATATTATTGTAGCTACCTGTGATTGTTGTTCCTAAGTAATAAAAGCGATTGAAGAAACAAATCAATTTTGTGTGACTTCTGAAAATACTGATAGATATTTTGGGTTTCTTTTATTTCAGCGCTTGATTGAAAAACTGACAGATGATATGAAACGAGCTGGAGAAGCGGAGAAGGCCCTTGCTATTGCACGAGGCGATGTAGATGCTGATGGAGTTCCGTATATAACTGTTGTTGTCGATGCAGGATGGTCCCATCGCAGTCATGGACACCGGTATTCAGCAAAATCTGGCTGTGCGGTAGTTGTTGGAAAGGCAACTGGGAAGCTCCTGTCCCTCAATGTGAGAAACAAGTATTGTTATATCTGCGCAGTAGCTGAGCGCAGCAAACGAGCCTGGCCAGAGCATACGTGCTATAAAAACTGGGAAGGCTCATCCTCAGCAATGGAGCCGGATATGATTGTTCAGTCGTTTATAGAGAGCGAGGAGGTGCATGGACTGCGGTACAAGAAATTTATAGGCGATGGTGATAGCAGCGTTTTTTCTCACCTCCAAGAGAAAGTTTTAAGTTATGGTCGTCAGATAATTAAAGTCGAATGCGTTAACCATCTGCTGAAAAACGTAACAAAACGCTTATTCGAGCTCCAAAAGGGGCTTGAGAAACAAGCAAAGGCAAGACTTGAGCAAGACAAGGCAACAAACCCCTCCCAGCAGCAGCCCAAACAACGAGGCAGAAACAAGGAAAAAGAGTTCCTCACCAACAATAGAATAAAGACGATAGGAAAAACAGTAAGGAGGATGATCAAAACGCTATCACTTGAGAATGCTCCTCGATCAGTAATTTCCGAGGTCATCCAGAACCTCGGAAGGCACTGCATTGGGGACCACTCCAAATGCCAACAGAAGTTTTGCGACAAGAGCGGGGTCGTGGAGAAAAACGAGCTTGCAACTGATTTTGTTGTTCAACTTTCCAACATAATCAGTGGTTTGACTCGCCACACCACAAGCATAATGGAGTACCAAACGACCAACAAGTGCGAGAGTTTTATGCACTTAGGCACAAAATTCAACGGGTCCAAAGATGTATTTTACTGCCGGAGAGGCTCGTACACTTACAGGACATTTGGTGCCGGTCACCTGTTCCAACATGGACATGGATGGCGGGGAAAATTCTATCGCCACATGACTGGAAAGAGTCCTGGGAGCCACATGAAGCGAAAGGATATGATGCGCACTCGGCGATGCATTCGGCACGCTGGGTACAAATTGGAGAAACGCCAACAACAGCCCACTGTGGATTCGCCCCTACCATCAGGCTCTGACTCTGATCCCGATAGTCCAGACTCGCCTGTGAATCCTTCTGCGGACTATGGAGTGACCTGTCGAAAGCCAGATATGCCAGAAGAAGAGATTAAGAAGCAAATTTTGATACTTACAGAAGCTCTCAAAGTGGACGAAGTAAGAAGAGCGTTCATAGAAGAAATCACTCGTGGGCAATCAGATTGTGATGAATGGTTCAAGGAGAGACTATATAGATGCACTGCTTCTCTCTTTGGATACCTTTTTAAAAGGGCTGCATACTGGGGAGTCATGGTTTATAAAGCATACTATGCCCCTGAGTTATCAACACCGGCAATAAATTGGGGAAAAGACAACGAAGATTTGGCACTACAAAAGTTTGTAGAAGTACGTGGCCTACAGGTAACTAAATGCGGCCTATTCGTGGACCTGGAGAGGTCGTACTTAGCAGCCTCACCCGACGCCCTTGTTGTTGGCCAAAACAGTATTGTGGAAATTAAATGTCCTTACAGTGCAAGGCTCCTGACCGTCAGAGAGGCAGCAATCCAGAAAAAGGATTTCTATTTAAAAATCGACTCACAAACCAAAGAATTGTACCTTAAGCAAAATCACATCTATTATTATCAAATTCAGGGAGAATTGGCAATCACTGGGAGGAAACTGTGCTATTTTGTTGTGTGGACACCGTTAGATGTGCACATTGAAGAAATCAAATTCGATCAAAGTTTGTGGGACAATGAAATGATACCGGTCCTTGATTATTTTTTTAAAAATCATCTGGCTGTGGAGATTGTAGATCCTCGACGGAGCAGAAAAATGCCTCTTCGTGATACCAAGGAGGAAGAAGCATGGTACCAGAAGAGAGGATTGCCGGTGCCAACCTACGAAAAACGCCCTGAAAAAGTGAAGAAAAATCAGAAGAAGAACCCAAAGAAGAACTCCAAGAAGCCCCAAAAAATCCAAATGAGACCAAGGAAGAGACAAGGAGAAGTTTCTGATATTCTTGATGACTGCGGTGTTCAGCCATTGGATTGCAGTGTTGAAGCTACAGACAGCAGCCAGAGCGTCGTTACGATTCGACACCCTCCAAGGAGTAATCCAACCTTCCTGATTAATGCTCATCTTGTGCCAGACCAATTGCTACTTGATAATCGTCCATATCATATTTCAAACACCTGTGCATTTGATTCTGTTGTTTCCATCATTGCCCGAGCCTTGCAGGAAAATGCACGATATCATGAGGAAGCCAAGCTTTTCCAAGATAATCCCGTTATGAGTGTAGCTTTTCTGCTCATTGAAGGCCTTAATAGAGCAAAAATTCATGAGGCAAGAGGGAAAGTTATTGTGGCATCTCAGCTAGGCACAAGAACAGCGAATGGCGAAGCTATCTTAATCAACTGCGAAGGATTCATGGATGGTATCGCAGCGATGTTTGAGACAGCTCCTTCTCTCAAACGGAAAGAGGTGTGCTTATCTGGAGATTGTGGCTGGAATCAGGAACTTGGCATTGCATACGTCAACCCTGAGATTGCCGATACAAGGTATTTGCAGGTTGGCGCTGTGCAATGCCTTGTTGACTGCTGCAAATTCCAAACCGAACTCAGCAAGATTTGTTCGAATTGCAAAGCCACGCCTACGATGACCTACTTCAAGATGGGTATCCACGTGCTCTTGATGGTGGATACGTACAGTGATGGCTCACTCAAGGCTGTGTATCCAGACCATCCAGGCCGCTGCAGGATAGTGGACATGGACACATCGATTGTCATGGACAGAAGGAGGTATGTGTGAGAGCTATCCATAAAAGTTTTATTTTCCTAGGTTAAAATTGATGGAAGACGAAAGAAAGAGGTCTGGAAGTAGAAATCAACGTTCCTTAAAAGTTCCAGGCTGAGGTTTTTTGGATTTCTTTTTCGAGAAAAAATAATTAAAATAGAGATTATTTAAGTTAAACTGAGAAACTTTACAGAAAGATCACAGCAAATAGTAATCTTTTTTTTTTCTGAAGTGACTTGGAGCGTTTCAGAATCCATCAGCAACATAGTATTTGCTTAATGCCCAGACTTACTGGATACTCTAGCCTACAGAGTCTGAACTTTCTCCTTAACTCTTGTAAACCAAAGAAAGAAATGCAAGAAGACTGATGGCAAAGATATTGGTCTCATTCTGCTGTAGTCATCTGGTTCCTGGAGTTACTTTTTGAATTTTTTATACAATTTTTATTTATTTTTATTGAAGAAATAGATTAACTAAGTACCTGGGTCTTACTTACGGTTGTTTCAGGTACATTCTTTCTGGAGTGGTCGAATTTGTACAAGCACGGGGGCACTTTGTGGCTTACGTGCGGAGGATAACCGGAGAGTGGGAGCTTCATGATGATCTCAATGAAGAAATTGATCAGCATCCGAATATTGAGGCAAACATAGCTCCACATCTAATAGTTTACACATTCTTTGAAGAGGTGAGTGCCTGTAGAGACAAAATTGGACAATTAAAAAATGTTCTATGGTTTTCAATAGCAATATGGTATTGTTAAGCCCAAGCCGGGAAGGACAGATTTAACATCTCAAATTAATAGATCAGTTTATAGATACACAGAGAAAATAAGATATGATTTGTTAGGGCATTTTGCAGAAATGGACAGACGTGTAATATCAATAGACACTGTTGGACTTGGAAGGAACGTCGTGTTGTACTTATGGTTTCTTGCTCGTACAATTTGAAGAGGGAAGTGACAATGAAGATAGAGTTTTAAGAACATAGAATAAAACCAGAGGTCTTGTAGATGAGAGGCATATTGTTACCTAAAGTAGTAATTTTTTTTAAAAAATTTATCACAGATACCACATGTGATTTTCTTGCTATTATTGAATATTAGTTTCCTTTTAATTTTAAGAGAAAAATGTTAAACTTGGTGAAACAAAATTAAAAGAAATTTCTCATTTACAGATTATTGATGACTGTCCACTTGTACACTGACAATATCTTCATTTACCTCTGCAAACCAACCTTGGATAGAACGTGAATACGGAGAAACGGACATCTACATCTCGCAATTCTTGTCCGGTCACAGCAGCTTCAACAGTTTTGTTCTTAAATTTAAATTAGTACCCTCCCCTCTTTGCGTCCTATGCCTATCTGCCGAGGATACGCCGGAGCACATTTTCTTCGGCTGCAGCACTCTTGTAAATCATAAACTAAGCCTGGAAACAGAATTAGAGACAATTATCACCCCAGAAAATAGTAATTAATTAATACTTAATTGATGCTAGAATCCGAAAGTAATCGGAAAAAGATTCAAAATTATATTACGGATATCATTAAAAATAAGATTAAACACAGCCACAACTCCTCAATGACAACAGTGTTGCAGCCGGAGGGATATCCCTTAGGAATGGTTCCCGCGTCATCCGGGCAGATATGCAGCCGTGAGTTTGGTTTAGTTGGTCGGCTCGACCTCGGTCCCCGGTCTCCCTAGCCAGCTCCTGATCAGAGCCTTTTCTAAATTAGAGCCTAAACCAACATATGATAGTTTAACCATCTAGATGACCATCTGGCCGAAACCCACCCCATGTTGGGGTGGTAGCGCGAAACAGATGGAAATCGAAACCCCCGACTTTGTTCTAACACAGCCGGTGGAACAAGATGCTTAAATTGTCATATCTTCGATAAGATTCGCCACTTTTTCTCCCGGAAGAACTACAAAAAAAAAAAAAAAAAACCTGCATACAACTGATCAATGAAGTTGATCAGAGCATCATTTGTGCATTTGTTTCTTCAGAATCAAAACTGGACTTTCGGGAGTAGAACATTTTTAACCAAGTGACTAAATAATTGTTTATAGATTACCTTTTCAAAACTTTTCGAAATTGGGATATACGTTCAGTTACATTGAGGAATGCTCTCTGAGGATTGTGGCGTCTGTCATGCAGATTTGGATGCCACCTTGGTTGACTCACCAACCAAAAAAAAAAAACCCAGTTACTTAGTTTGAACATACATTTTGGTTCCTTCTCATGTGAGACATTAAGGAGAGTACAAATTCTTTCACAGCAAGAACTGGGGAAAGAGAAGAAGATACATATGTCACATCAACCTCAATGCATCAATTGGCTCATTGGTTACCACACTCAGATGTGAAATTTCTCTCTTTCTTTCTTTCCCCAGTTGTGGGAATGCTTTCGCTGTATTGGTGGAACACGTGGAAGAGTGAATGAAATTTTAGAAAACTCACATTAAGATGCTTCCCAAGATTCGTTTCAGAAAACGCAAGCTCCATTGTCAGCCGTTTTTAAGACATGTAAAGCATGAGGTAGAATCGAGCAGACTTTGATGTTCTTCCTGGAAAATTGAAGAGGAACATAATTCACTTAGATTACCTCTCTCAAAACATAGAACAGTACCTTGTTGAACTTGATGGGCAAACTTTCAGGGTACACTAAAGATAAGTGTGGCTTTACTAGTTGCACAAATGTAGTCACAATAATTGTAATCAAGAGTAAAGTCAGGACCAGAAAAATGTACTCCCCTAACTCGAGGATTAGGTGTCTTCAAGGCATTGAAAATAGAATCAGGAATCAGGATGCTAAATGTTCTTTCGTAGTCTAGAAGTGAGTCAACTGATAGGGGGTGGTCTCTCATGCAACTGTGAAATTTCGGAACATAAGATTGAAATGTGCGTCTCGACAAAAAGTTTCTTGGTCTCTGTACATTACTTACTAATTGGCAGCTGTTTCTCGTGTTCGCAAATGATAAAAGTCAACTAATAGGTACTGTCGAGGGACAGCATGAAGCCCTGAATAAATTATGTGATATTCCTGATCTAACTCAAGCTGGCAGAGGAAACTTGACAGCAATTGAATGAATGTGTAGAGTGTAGCGAAGGGACGAGCAACAGGTATTCAAGAGAGGCTAAAGTAAGAAAACACTTGACCACTTACCTGATCTAGCGTGTCGGTTAGAGGTTGATGGAAAGATCTGTTATTTCTTCGACATTCGAGACCAAAGTCAACTTTGCAAACACACTTCAAAGGAAAATCAACGCGCACGTAACAAGACGGCCAACCCAAAACATCTAACACTATTTTCAGAGGTCACACAAAATTAATTTGTTTCTTCAATTGCTTTCATTACTGAGGAACAACGATCACGGTTAGCTAAAATAATAGTCTCAAGAGTCATCTTCTAAATACTTAGCTAATTAGAAAATTTCACAAATTCACATTTCACATGGCGTTCGAAAGTAACGACGCAATTAGTATTTGAGGTTATGTGCAGCATTATGCAATCCGAACAGCTGTTCGCGAGTTAGTGATAACTGAAAGATGGATTCAATATCGTCACTCCAAACCTAATTACAACTTTATTTTTGACTCTTTTGCCTTGAAAATTTGGATACAAAGAGTTGAAGTACCTGCGGAGGGGCAATCGTCCTTGAAACTTGAATAATCTGTGCCAGTTTCATTTATATATTCGTTGAACTCAAAGGGGTCAGTTGCCAAGGCAGGGAGTGCCTGGAGTGTCATCACTCCAAACCTAATTACAACTTTATTTTTGACTCTTTTGCCTTGAAAATTTGGATACGAAGAGTTGAAGTATCTGCGGTGGGGCAGTCGTCCTCGAAATTTGAATAATCTGTGCCAGTTTTATTTATATATTCGTTGAACTCAAAGGGGTCAGTTGCCACGGCAGGGAGTTCCATCACTCCAAACCCAATTACAACTTTATTTTTGATTCTTTTGCCTTGAAAATTTGGGTACAAAGAGTTGAAATATCTGCGGAGGGGCTATCGTCCTCGAAAATTTAATCATTTCGTTTGAATTTTGTTGCCGAGTCGAAGAATGTCATAATCTGGTGAATTCAAAATTCGCGGTCATCCCGAGGCGCCGGCGACAGTAGCGCGATCTCTTATCCCAGATTCTCAACTCAGAGTCTTGACGAATCACCTTAAGGTGTATCTACAGCTGCGTGAAGTAAGAAATTTCTCCGCGCAGGGGGCGCCACCGCTGTGTTTTAGAGTCCGTACAGCACCACGTGAGTCCTTGAGCTTTTATAAAAGTTGAAGGAATTTCTGTTTAAATCGAAGATAAATAAGTTCTAGCTATAACATTCTTCTTCCTATTGACCCTAAAAACAACGTGAAAAGTCATTTCTAAAGCTCTGCAATTTGATCCCAGAAAAAAGTAGGGTTAAGCATGATGACCTTGATGCAACGGGTGCCACACACGGGAGGGATGAGGCGCCCAAAAGTGAGGCTCTGCTGCGCGCGCACGTGGCATGTTTGAAATGTAATTTCGCGGCAGATTCGAACCCAAGGGGCGAGTTCCATAATACATTCTTCTCAAATGCACAGTATTAAAGTAAAAAAAGTCCAGAGTTTTAATCACGATTACTTTAATTAAATTTAACCTCTCGTAAATCCATACGTAAAAAGGGTTTCCTTCTCCGTAAATTTTAACAGTTTTATAGTGAGTT